CACGAGCCCCGCCCGCGCCCGGCGCACCTGCTTGGGGCGTGGCCTCCGCCGGGCGCCCACCTGTGATTGGTGCAGCGTTGACAAAAGGGCGTAGCTCCACGGTCCCGCCCTACCCAGCTGCATACTTAAAGGCAGCGGCGGCGCCCTGTGAGCTACAGCGCCGCTGCACGGCCTCGCGGGCGAACTTCCCTGCCGCCTTTTCGCGACTCGGCAGCCCCGGTCCCCTGGCCACCATGCCGCGTTCTTTCCTCGTCAGGAAGCCCTCTGACCCTCGCCGCAAGCCCAACTACAGCGAGCTGCAGGATTCCTCTCCGGGTGAGCGGAGGGTGCCGGGCGCGGGGACGGGTTCGGGGGATGCGGGTCCGGGCTGCGCTGGGGGACTGGAGGGCCGGGCCGGCGACCACATCGGGCTGGAGTTCTGCAGGGCGCGCGGAGGCGGGGAGCCCAGAGACGCGAGGCAGGTGGCTCACCGTCCGCGTCGCGGAGGCTGCGGGAGGGCCGCGTCGCTGCCGGGGTCCCCGGCCGTCGGGAGGCCAAGCACTCCGCGAGTGTGGACAGCGCAGGAGGCTCGTGCCAGGGGGGCCCGCGGCCGGTGGCTGTTAAGGGTCCGGAGTCCAGAGGCTGTGGGGGAGGGGTGCGGGCCGGGCACTGGTCGGGGGAGGCTCAGCTGAGGACGCTGGGGGCTGGGGCGACAGGGGTCAGGCCTCAGGCCGGGCCCGGCGACTCCGGAAGACGAGGCCCGGGAGTGACCCGGCGAGCCGGGCTGGGACCTGGAAGGCCCTCGTGGGAAGCTCAGGTCGGTGACCTGGTCTGTCCTCAGAAGTCTTTCACTCATCTGTCGCGTACTGAATGCCAGCCCCACCGAGCCCCCACCCCTCAGGGAGTAGCGTTTGTTGATTGACTGAAAGATTTAACGAATGTCTGACCCTGTTTTCTGTCTCTCGCAGAGTTTACTTTCCAGCAGCCCTACGACCAGGCCCACCTGCTGGCAGCCATCCCGCCGCCCGAGGTGCTCAACCCCACCGCCTCGCTGCCGACGCTCATCTGGGACTCCGTCCTGGCGCCTCTGACGCAGCCCCTCGGCCGGGCCCCCGTGCAGCCGCAGGAGAGCCCCAGGGCCGCCGAGCTGACCTCTCTGTCCGACGAGGACAGCGGGAAGGGCTCCCAGCCCCCCAGCCCACCGTCGCCGGCGCCCTCGTCCTTCTCCTCCGCCTCGACCTCCTCCCTGGAGGCCGAGGCCTGTGCCGCTTTGCCGGGCCTGGGCCAACTGCCCAAGCAGCTGACTGGGCTCTCCATGGCCAAGGACCTCCAGTGTCGCAAGGCCTTCAACTGCAAATACTGCAACAAGGAGTACCTGAGCCTGGGCGCCCTCAAGATGCACATCCGGAGCCACACGCTGCCCTGCGTCTGTACCACCTGCGGGAAGGCCTTCTCCCGGCCCTGGCTGCTGCAGGGCCACGTCCGGACCCACACCGGTGAGTGTGCCTTCCCGGCCCCACTGCCTCCTCTTCTCCGCCAGCCTTTAGCCTTCTGGGCTTTCGTGTTCTCTTCAGAGTTGTGGGCACGGGGCTCTGAGCCCCTTCTAGTTCAGGTTCAGGTCCTGGTCCTGTGGGACGCGTGGCAGGGGCATTCCCTCACCTGCCGAGCAGATGGCCAGGTGTCCTTGCCGGCTCCACAGTTCCGCGGCCAGATGCTGTGGAGGGCTGGGGAAAGGGCAGCTCACACCTCGCTGTTCCCGCCGGGTGTGAGGAGACCCAGCCGGCTCCACCTCCCTCAGCCCCGTCCCAGCCTCAGAGGGCGTCAGAGCCCCCAGCCTGAGGCAGCTTTGAGACTTCATCAGACCTCCCGTGGTGTTTCATCTCTGAGCCTGTTCTCCCGTCTCTACGATGGGCGTGAGAACACCTGCTGGGATTTCTGGGCAGGTTCAGTAAAAGATTACATGCAGGAAGCACCGGGCAAAAGTGCTGGGTGTAGCTGGGCGTGGTGGCGCACACCTGTAATCCCAGCACTTGAGGCTGAGGCAGGAGGATCGCTAGGAGTTCTGAGGCCAGCCTGGGTTATATATAGTGAGTTCAAGGTCAGCCTGAACTACAGACTGAGACCCTGTCTCAAAAACAAACCAAACCAAAAAGAAAAACAAAAACAACGTGCTTGATACATGGTTAACTCAGAAAAATGGTAGGAGGTAGTTGCTGTGCTTCTGTACTCGGTGGCCCTGGGCAATCTAACTTCTCTGAGCCTCCAAGGCTCAGATGGTAGCACCCGCTTTATAGGGTGGGTCTGAAAAGTCATCAGCCCTTTATGATAATTTCTTGTAGCCTTGTGGTTCTCAGAGCTGCTTTCCCCAGCACCGCCGAGTCTGTCGCGCAGACCGGGAATGGTTTTGCTGGCAGGAAACACAGCCGCGTCGTCTAGGGAGTTTCAAAAACGCAGCGCGAAGTGTGCGGAGGGTTTTCCAGACTGAGGCAAGCGCAGTGGAGGCCGTGTGCGAGGCGGACCCTGGAGAGCGACGGGGGAGGAAGCTCCTGGTCGGGGCTGGGGCTGGGGTGGGCCCCTCGCTACCTGCTCGAGGCTCCTTCTCTGCACACTGGCCCCGGGTTTAAAATGTAAAGGTCGCCCGCCTGGCTTTCTCCTCCGCCCTCCCTGCCCGGCCCGGGAGACCCCTCTGGAGGGAGGGGAACCTCAGGATGCTCTCCGGGAGGCCCCCAGCCTCTGCCCGCCCCTCCGGACATTATTTTAATGTAAAGGCACGGCTCGGACACAAAACCCTGTTGAAATGCACCCTGGCTGTCCCCATTGACGCCCATTGTGTGTCTTAATGGTGGGCCCAGTGGGAGGGGGCGGGGAGGGGCGGAGCAGGTGCACGGGGCAGCGGTGCCCAGCACCTGTTCCGGCCGCAGCTGCTGGGCCGCAGCGTGGCAGGCCCCTTTAATCCTGGGGGTATCACATGTACCGTGCTCCCCTCAGCGGCCTTTGTCCCCGCCGGCCTGGTGCCGATTTCACACTTGCCAGGAGTACCATAAAGGCGTCTAGGGGGCGAGGGACCGGTGGGGGGCTGCGCTGCCTGCGTGCACAACACCCCCACCACATACGGCCTCGAGGGTCCGCTTCCCCTTTGTCCACCTCTGCGCGCTGACTGGGAGGGGCGCCGCTGTCACCCCCGCCTCACAGATGGCTTCGTCCTCCTCCCGCGCCTGTGTGGCCGCCCGGCCGTCATGGGGGCTGTGGACGAGGAAGGCCCCACCGGGGAGGGCGCTTGGTGTCCTCGCCCCCGGCTGCGACTGGGCCCTGAAGCGAGGGGTTTCCTGGCCTGCGCGCCCCGCCCCCGCTGCCCCTCAGTAGGTCCTGCTGAATGGGCAGCTCGGCACAGCACCCACAGGGGATGGAGTTTGTCTCCGGCTCCTGAGTTCCCACACTGGGATTTAGCGGACAGTATGGCCTGGGGGGCTGAGGTGGGGAGCTGCTTTTTGAAGGGTGTTCAGTACTATAGATTGGCACGGGGTAGCTCTCCATGGATGTTTAATGCGTTCCTACTTATGACCTAGTTTTGGAAAATGTGTGCCCCTAAGAAGAAACATTGTAACAGTTGTGGGGGAACTGTGTCCTCTTGACTGGGGCAGATATTAAGAAAAGGTGTCTGAGGAGTGATGTCTGTGAGGCTTGTTGCTTTTTTTGAGTCAGGCTTTTTTTTTTTTTTTTTTGGTCTCTTTGAGACAAGGTTTTACCATGCACTTTAGGCTGGGCTTGAACTGACTTGCTTCAGCCTCCAGAGTGCTGGGATTACAGGTGTGCGGCACCACGCCCTTTTTTGTTTGTGGTTTTTTTTGAGTCTTGATTTTCTGAGACAGAGTCTGGCTGTGCAGCCCAAGCTGGCCTCAAACTTGTGATTCTCCTGACTCAGCCTTCCAATTGCAGGCACTGTAGGCATGCGCCACTGCTCCTGGTTGAAGCCTTTTTCTTTTCTTTCTTTCTTTCTTTCCTTCTTTCTGTCTGTCTGTCTGTCTGTCTTTTTGAGACAGGGTCTTGCTATACAGTTCAGTATGGCCTTGAGCTCTCTTTGTAGCCCAGGCTGGTCTCAAACTCACAGTGATCCTCCTGATCCTCCTGCCTCAGCCTCCTGAGTGCTGGGATTACAGGCGTGCACCACCACGCCTAGTGAGGCCTTTCTTTTTTTAAAGCAGATTTGTTTATTCTCTGGGCACTTATTGAGCATCTACTGTATACTTCACCTCACACCCAAGACTTCTAACACAGCATTGACCAGACCATTGTGTCAGAACTACAAGTTTCTGTAGCCGCTTGGGGGTCCCAGGCCCAGGGCTGGGGCCTGGAATGGGCTTAGGCTCCTGGCACTGTGCAGCTGGCTCTGACAGGGACAAGAGATGTGGGAATAGGTGCTGCAGGCCTTGTGACTGGGGAAGCAGGCTTTTGGCAGGGCTCAGAGGAGTGGCCTAACCAGCTCTGAGGTGGGGGCAGGGAGACCTTAACTGAAGATTGCCTCTTAAGCTTTGTCTCCAGAGTAAATCTGGGAGTGACTCCAGGACTGATAACAGGCAGGCCAGCCACAGCCTCCCTTGACCTGGAGGCCCTTGTCTACTGGCTAAAGTCAAGGGCTTGGGAGCCCTGCTGGGTGACCCACAACATGCCAGTTCATTCCTGGGCCTCCCTCGGCTGCCTTGAATGAGACCACGGAAGCCCTGACAGCAGGTTCTCGGTGAGCGCCTCCGCTGTGGCCACCATGTCTCCCCTCCAGCCAGCGTGCGCGGCGAGGGACGGCCCCAGGTCTCGGGCGGGCAGCTGCAGGGCTCTGTCGGGGCAGCGGCCAGCGCCCGGCCTTGGGCACAGGCTGTGTTGAGTGGAACGAGCCCTTCAGGGTCGGGGTGGGCGGGCTCTAAAGGCTGCAGGTGTGGGGTGGCACTGCAGGATGCGCCGCCGGCACCCAGGCCTCACCTCCTGTCTCCCTCCCCAGGCGAGAAGCCCTTCTCCTGCCCGCACTGCAGCCGCGCCTTCGCCGACCGCTCCAACCTGCGTGCCCACCTGCAGACCCACTCGGACGTGAAGAAGTACCAGTGCAAGACGTGCTCCCGCACCTTCTCCCGCATGTCCCTGCTGCACAAGCACCAAGAGTCCGGCTGCTCGGGGGGCCCCCGCTGACCTCCCCACTGCCCCCCAACTCGGGGAGGAAGGAGCCCCTCCTTCCCGCCCCGCGGAGCTCCCTTCTGAGCACCCATCTGGCTGCGGCCGGCCCTCAGGACTTTGGTGAAGCCGCTTCCCAGTTCTGTGCTGTCCACTCCGGGGCCTGGCGGGCACCGAGAGAGCCTTCCGGTGCCCTTTGCCTGCCTGGAGCCCTCCTGGCAGCCGTGAGGGCCGCGAGCTTGAGCCGGCCTCTGTGTGGGTTTGTGTATCCAGAGCTGTTTGGATACAGCTGCTTTTCGCTGCAGGACGAAAGCCGACTGACTGCCTGGGAAGCTCCCAGCCCACTCAGGGGCTCCCACACCCCTACCTCCGCCTTCCCCAGGGAGCCCTCAGGCCACCTTCCCCAAGGTGTGACTGGCGATGCGGTAGCGCACTCCGGGGGGCGTCCTCTGCCTCTGGGGCAGTTTCGGGACACACGGACAGACATGTCTAGACCTCCAGATGCCCCTGAGCCTGGGCAGCTATTTCAGCCTCCTGTTTGTCATGGTGACACCTGTCTCATGGGCAATTTAACAATGTCTCAAAAGGGACTGTGAGTAATGGCCATCACTTGTCAGGGGCCAAGTGGGGTGCTTCGGCCTGACCAATGTGTCTCCCAGAACTATTTCAGGGCCCGACAGGTGGGCCTGGGAGGAAGACGTTTACATTTTAAAGGTACACTGGTATTTATATTTCAAGCAACATTTTCTATAAGGGAACGTTTTGTATAACTATATGTACAGTTTATTGATATTCAATAAAGTGTTAATTTATTATGAAGTGTGTACTTGGTCTTGTGGGATGGGTTTTTTGTTTTCACAGTACTGGGGATTGAACCTGAGGTCTTCACACTGAGCTATATATCCAGGCCCTTTTAAAATTTTTTACTTTGAAAAACAAAAATTTTGAGATAAATCTTAATTAAGTTGCCCAGGCTGGGCTCCAATTTGCAATCCTCCTGCCTCAGCCTCCCAGAGTGCTGGCATCACAGGTGTGTGCCTTGGAGCGTGACTGGGGATAGGTATTTTAGCAGGTAAGAGGAGGGGCCCAGAATTCCTGGAGCTTAGATAGTTCTGACATGGCCTTAAATCTTGTCCTTGGAAACCTCCTGTGGGTCTGGAGTCCTGACTCTGACCGCAGGGTTCTGCCCATGGTGAGATTTCCCCAGGCCGCAGTGTCTGATGGTGTGGAGCTGACCCGAGCCAGTGAGTGGGCCCTGTGGGCAAGCCCTGCTCCCGCACAACCTCGCCCTGACTACTCTGCGGCTGGCTTCCTGGGTCTCATCGCCTGGATAAACCTGGTGGCTCTGTGGGGCGGGGTTGGCTGCCCCCAGCTGGAGGAGAGGATGTCCTTCCTGTTCCCAAGGGCCCTGGCCTGGCCTCCCTGTCAGGAGCCCCACACCTCTGTCTGGCTGCTGGGTACCAAATGGCCTTTGATGCAAGGAAATTGGCTGGCTGGAGCCAGGAGGGTGAGAAGCCAGGCCAAAGGGTAGGGGTCATTCAGCTTCCTGCTCGAGGGTGGGAGGACCCCCAGCTTGTGCCTGGGCGGGGGCAATTCACTGCTGGCTGTCAGTGGCCGGCCGGGTGGCGGTGACCTCACCTCTGGGGGCCTCCCGGGGCCGGGAGAAAATGAGTGTCCTTCTGAGCACAAAAGGTTCCGAAGGTGCCAGTTTCCTGCGGGCGGCTCAGCCGAGCCGGGTCCCATCACAGCCCGGAGCCGGGCTGGGGGGAGTCAGTGTTCCAAAGGAGAGATGATTCTTTCTTCTAAACAGGAAATGGTGACCCGCAGGCCGGGAGCAGCCCTTAATGACTTGCAGCTTTCCTCCCAAAAGGAAAAAAAAGTTCTCTAACAATCGCCAAATTGTGGCCGGCCTCCCTGAAGGGAAGTTAGGGAGCGGGCGGGGGCTGGGCGGCCGGCCTACTGCGTCCCAGTCCCTGTCGTGACATCAGCCACAGTAGGTGCCGTGCTGACAGTGGCAAGTGAGTGACTTCACCATCCCCGAGGCGCGGGCCTCTGGCCAGGGAGGCTCGCGGCCGAGGGGCTCGCCTGAGGTCATCGGCGCTTGACCTTGGGTCTACCTGGCCGAGGTCGGCCGTGCTGCGGGGCAGGCAGGCCGGGCTCCCGTCCCCTTCTCGCGGCTGCCGTTTCTGCCTGTAAAATGGGTGGCAGCAGTGCCTCCCTCCCGGGACGCCGAAGAAGGAACAGTCCCGCAGTGGTTGGCTGAGACGGCGGGCCTGGCCGTTCTCTGGGCCTGCCCCGAGGGCAGCCAGGGCCCGCGCTCCTGGGTTATGTTCTAGTGGGGGACCCAGTAAACAGCAGGCGAATACACAAACAAGCCGCGCTCCTGGGCCACGGTCCCAGAGGGAAGCAGAGGCCGAGGCGGGAGGGAGGCGCGGGCGGGCTCCGGTCCAGGCTGAGGCCGGAGGCGGACATTCCGGCTGCGGCCCAGGGGCAGATGCAGGCCGCGGGGACCAGGAGGGAACAGCAAGGCCGGGCTGGAAGGAGCCCCTCCCCTCGGGCCCGGTGGCCACCTGGCCTCCAAGGGCCAGGAGCTGGGCCGGCTTCTCCTTGGGTACAAAGGGTCCCTGGCCCCTGGGAGAGGGCAGGGGAGAGGCGGGCACAGTGAGAAGGGGCAGCAAGGCCCACAAGTGACAGGACCTAGCCCAGGGCTGCGGTGGCTGGGGATGGAGCCCAGGGCTGCCTCACCCGAGCACTTGGGAGGGTTCAGTGTGGAGAGGCTGGGCCCAGCGGCCCGGCCCGGGCACAGAGCTGGGTGGGAAGAGACGGAGCGGGAGGGAGACAGGTGTGTCACCCACTCCTCTGTATTCCAGCAGGCACTGGAGGCTCAGGACAATGACGACTCCCTGGTGGGGCGGGGAGTTTTCCAGAAGAGGGAGGCAGGGTGGAGGAGACCAGTGGGAAGGAGGAAAAGTAATTAAAACTTGGTTTCACTATCTCATTTGGGCTAGACTTGAATTCACTATGTGGCCCAGGCTGGCTTCAAACTCATGGAGATCCTTCTGCCTCAGCCTCCTGAGTGCTGGGATTACAGGTGTGCACCATCATGCCCAGCTATTTTTACAATGCTTAAGAATTTTGTCTCTTTTCCCTTTCCTTCCTTCCTTCCTTCCTTCCTTCCTTCCTTCCTCTCCCTCCCTTTCTCTCTCTGTCTGTCTCTCTTTCTGTCTCTGTCTGTCATTCTGAGCCAGAATCTCACTAAGTAGCCCAGACTGGCCTCAAACTCATAATCTTCTTGTCTGTCTCCCAAGTAGCTGGGATTGTGGTATGTAGCACTGCATCTGGCTTTAAAGTTTTTGTTTTATTATTTATTTCAAAATAAAACTATTTTTTGAAATAATTTTTACCTGACAAGAGTTATAACAGCTGGGTGCAGGGGCATACACCTGTAATCTCAGCACTGGGAGGCTGAGGCAGATTTCCTACATAGTGAGTTCAAGGCCAACCTGAAATTCATATCAAGATCCTGTCTCAACCAAAAACAAAAAGTTTGTAATAAAAATACAATCAGCTGGTGGGCATGGTGGCGCATGCCTGTAATCCCAGCACTCGGGAGGCTGAGGCTGGAGGATCATTGAGAGTTCGAGACCAGCCTGGGCTACAAAGTGAGCTCAAGTTCAGCCTGAACTGAATAGCGAGACCCTGTCTCAAAAAAAGACAAAAAATAATAAAAATAAATAAATAAAAATACAGTCACCTGGGCCCTTCACTCAGATGCTTCCATGTAGTACCATTTTATTGCTGGTATGTTTGCATCTTCTCTCTCCTTACACATACTATTCACTGTTTCTGATTAATTTGAGAGTAAGTTATACATATAACATCCTTTATTGCTAGATATCTCTTTCGTGTTTTTATTTTGCTTTTTTTCCCTTGGTGCTAGGGATGAGTCCAGGGCCTTGCAAATGCTAAACAGGTGCTCCATCCCTGAGTTCACTCCCAGCACTTACTGTTGATTATTTTTACAGGTTTTTGTTTTCGTTTTTTGAGGCAGGGTCCCACTGTGTAGTTCAGGCTGGGCTTGAACTCTTTATATATGTAACCCAGGCTGGCCTCGAGTTTACGGAGCAGTCCTCCTGCCTCAGCCTCCTAAGTGCTTGGATTACAGCTGTGTGCCATCACACCCAGCTTTGCATGTATTTTCTGCTCTTTTTGTTGTTGTAGTTTTGTTTTTGTTTTGTTTTTAGTTTTTTGAGATGGGGGTCTCACTATGTAGTTCAGGCTGGTCTTGAACTCACAGTGACCTTCCCGTTTCAGCCTCTGAAGTGGTGGGATTACAGGTGTGCGCCACCACACCCAGGTCTGCATGCTTCACCTGCGTTTTCTAAGGCAAGAATATTTTTCACACAGCCAGGCTCCATGCTCTTTTT